TTTTCCAACTCAGGTCATTTATTGTTTTTTAGTCAGAAGCTCTATGTCTGCATTTTAACTAAACGGTTTAAACAACAAATACCTCTACTACAATGTTAGTGGCATTAATTGGGTATTTTTCTTTTGGGAATTTTTATTAATCAGTGTTTACAGTATGTTTTCTTTTGATTACTTGACAGTATTTCATTTTATTGTTTCTTGGTCATTTTATAAAAAGGTAATAATTTTGGACCATGTAATAAAACTACAATAAATTGTGCATTATTTCATGTAGTTCAGTCTTCTATACATTTCAGTTAGAAGAAAAACAGCCTGAAGGCTGAGTGAAAAGTACAAGTGGATAGAGTCCAGCAGAGGGAGCAGGAGACTAAAGGCATAATTTTGAAGGTCTTGGATTCAGAGTCTAATGAATAGAATTTTGGTATTTATACTTTATATGGTATCTTCAATCTCTTTTCCTTTTGCCTTAATATCCAGTGCTTCCAACCCCCATTATAGCCACATTGTCTAGAAGGATTATGTTCCTGTTTATGCTTCCATGTAATCAGCTGCAGGACAAGCAGCAACTCCACAGCACAGAGATGCATATGAAATGTTGTGTTCGTGAAGAAATGATTTGGGTCTGGCTTGGGAACAACTCTATTTTGGCAATGAGAACTAATGCATCTTTCTTGGGAAAACAGTATTTCTTACAGGACACAGGGAAGAACCTTTGGTGCTCTGCGATTCCTAATTCATCGGCCAGTCAACAGTTCTCTACCTTTTCCTACTGTGTCTTCCTTTGCTTCTGTAATGAGGCTTTCAGTAGTTGCGCTTGAGCCAGGTTTGGGGGGCATGCACTTGATCTGACTCAAGTAAGGACATCTATTCATCAGCTGGCTGGATCATTGAGCAGTGACAACCATGTCTTGTACTTGAAGATGTATCTATAATAAACATAGTTCTTTACAAGTCACTTCTATCTACTTTTTTCTCTTTGAACTGGTAGTATTTTTGTTTGGCTTTTACTATGCATTTTTGCAATTCGTTCTCAAGTCAGTTTTGCTCTGTGTGTTTCATACTAGTTTAAAAAATACTGGCTGAAATGAAACCCCAAAGCAGTTTGTCATTGATTTCAATGAGGCAGAATTCCAAGCACTGTCATTTTGTACCTTGCGTCGAGGTAGTCCGGGAGAAGAGCTCCTGGAGCAAAGAACTGCTCCACTTGAGCAAGGATGGCAGAATGTGGTCCTCTGTGTAGCTAGCTGTCGAGGTGCCATAACAACAGAGTTGCTTTTAAGACAGATTCACCACTGCTTTTTGCAATTTCTGTCACCTGCTTCTGTCCGAAAATCACGTGTTTAGATTTGAAGAGCTTTCTTTGTTGGTATTGGTTTTATTTTTGACATGGATACAATACAATGGACACATTCTGTTGTACAAATACACTTACATGTGGGCTTATTTCAACAAAACACATAACATAATGAGGGTTGTAAGGGAAACGTACATACAAACATTTCGCTTTGATTAGTGGCATCGTATTATTTTCCAGAGAAGACACACATTAATGGAAAGCCATTGAAAAATAAAAACTGAAACACAGTATGTTTGTATTTGTTATCTATTAACCGCAAGATCTGATCTCATAAGATTCACATTGAGTCAACATGGTTTGGATAAAATTTCATCCATATCCTGAAATATGTCTTTTCATATATATTTTTTGGTAATTTCCAAATCTTGCCCCTTAGAAGGAGAAACATTTTATTAATGCAAAAGACTAGTGGAGAGGTGAAATTAATAATAGAAAGTTTTGGAATATTAAATCTCTAAGCCAAAATATTTTTCCCAGAAAATGCAGAGTGAGGTAGTTAATATTATACATAGACACAGACACATTTGCACACACGCACACATTGTAATGACATTAGATGCATAAACAGGTTAGAGCATTCCAGTCTGTTTCCAATACCTACTTACAATACTTTCTCTCTCTCTCTCTCTCTCTCTCTCTATCTCTCTCTCTCTGCAAAATGCTGTCTTTGTAGAACCGTGGAGTACATAAATGCTTGAGGCATCTTTGGACTTTGCTGATTAAGTTTCTCCCTGCTTGCTACCACTTTCTTATTAATAGCTTTCCACACATGTTACTTTTTGTTAGGTGACAATCCTATCATAACTTGCTTTTGACTTCAACCGCTATTAGGAGGAACAAAATTCCAGGTGCCTGCACCTTTGAAATATAAGGCCTAAAGTTGAGACCTCATATTCAAAAATGTCATAGAGATTGTTCAGTTTGCTGCATATTAAATCAAGTTAGTGTACCACAATAACGCAAAACAACTTAATGTGTAACAGTATTAACCACAGTACCCATGGGTCATTAGGTCCATTTGTATCAAAAAAGAATTTTGACATTGTGTTTGGCCATGCTGTAGTAGTCTGGGCACTGTACATAGAATCTAGTTCATCCGCTAATACGCATGTCTTATAAAGTTATAGGCAATTTTAGTATTGAACAAGTGTTCACAGGATGGATTTCATTACATCAGATTTGGCTTTCCGAAGTTGCAAAGTCGTAAGAGGTGGAAGTCTTCCCAAAACCCCTTCTATCCTGCACAGAATACAGCGAGATCTATTTCAGAAGTAATTTTGATGAAGTCCTCACTTCAGGGTCCAGAACATGCTGCGCAAGTTACAGTGTGAGCACGTAGGTGCTCTGTACTTTCCCATGCACGGCCATTGAGAACGCAGTGTGACGGGAGCGGGCAAGACAGAGGAGGTCAATGCATTTGTCTGAAAGTACTGTAGAAAGTTATCTCATTTGCTACAACATTTCAAATTCTTTAGTTAATGTTTAGGCTTTCTGTATAGTCATAAAAGCTCTTTCATTGACTATAAATGCAATGATGCTTAGCATTTATACGATGATCTTTGTATTCAAAGCACTTTGCACGTAAAATCCCTTTGCTGAGTTTGTACTTCCTCGATGGATGTTTATAACTCCTGTTCTGCTCAGGGAATTGTTTGGCTGCATCCAAGAGCAGAATTTAACTCAACTAATTTTCACGTTACCTTTATAAGGAAAGTACTAGGCCTGTTTTACAGCTAAAATAAAAGGGCATCATAGTAGAAAAAGTTGTCCATTGCCACAGAGGGAACTAAAGGGAATCAGGAGCAAAGCACTTGACAAAATGTTTATGCTTAGTCCTATGAACAAACCACAGATCTACTATCTCTCGTATACTTAAAATAAATAGTTGTCAAAATAAGCAGCGTATTTTATAATACAACTGTCCTGGTCTTAACCTGGCTGCAACTGTGCATCCGTTAGTGTTAAGAAAAAAAAAAAATTGGAAAGTTAAAAATGTCACTGTTTTAAAGAAAATGAAAGAATAACGTCACTAAATTTTTTATCTCAAGAAGGTAAGATAGACAGATGGGATCTGCCCTCTGTAGACATTATTGTTGCTGGTAAAATTACTGATTCAGTGTTGATTTCTTTTACTGGACACTAGCAATGAAAGCTAAGTCCTGGAGAACACGATTAACTTTGAACCAGAAGTAGGGTTTCTAGAATGTGAGAATCTTCATCACACAGCTTCAGCAGAGCATCACAAGTTACACATTTCTCTGCAGGACAGTGTACTTTATGTTCACCTGGAGGATGTGGTTCAGAAGGCTTTTACATGGCTACCTGGCAAACAGAGCACCAGCTTCTGCCTCATCTGTGTGTCCAGGTCAGGAACAAAACCCTCTGCATTCCTAATGCAGTTGCAACCCACTGTTCCCTTGTCAGCCTGTGTGTTTTCATAGACTGCATGCCGCCTGTAAAAGGAGCTGCAATTTGCTATGTGCAACCCCCAGCACAACTGGCCCTAGTTTGGTTATGGTTTTGAGGCCCTAATGTGTAAATGTTAAATAAGAGTATTAAATCCCTCTGCTCATTGGAAGTTTTTTTTTTCTTTTCTGTGCTGTATTATACAAAATCCAGACAAAGATCTCTCTTTTCAATGCAGCTGAATAGTATAAAAGTTGCTTACATATTAAAGCTAAAATAAAAGAAAAAGAATTAGGTTACAAATTAAGAAACTATAATGTTTAACAAAAAGGTGATGGCTGTAAGTGGCACCATTAAGACAAATATTATGGCATTACACAGACTTAAATCTGAGAGTATCAAGTAAAAGATGGAGCGAGGGGAATGTGCCCCTTCTCACCTAGCATGTGTCTCCCAAAGCTTGTGGGTGTGACAGGGGAAGGAAGGAGAAAATGGTTTGTGGCGCTACAATTACACACAGTAATGTGATCCAGACAGACAATTTTGGAAGACTGGTAGTAGTATATACAGTGGTACATACATAAAGCAATATAGCTGTCTATACAGTAGTTCTTCCTCCTGCCTCCCTCCCTACCCCAGCGTCAGGTACTCATGAGGAGTGACTGAGAGACATAAATATTGCAGTAATGCACACTATACAGGTTTACTTTCAGCAGAAAGGTTTGATTTTGTCACACAGCTACGTCTTGGCACTGCTGCAGGTTGAGCTCCTCTCTTCCACGCTTGACAGATACCTTCTCTTCTTGAATGTCTCTGTGATGCTTCTGTGTTACGCTGTGGCCGGTAGTGTTCCATACATCCATGGATGCCACTGGATTCTTTCCTTTCCAAAAATTCGTGTTCTAACACCAGGTCAGGAAACGGACAACTCCATATGTGACAATTTGTTTTCCACGCCTCTGTACCTTGGTCCGTCCTCCTTAACTCCTGAGCCAACCAGCACAATTGCAATCCACATGAAAGCAGAACTGATGTGATATTTTCAGATCGTCCAGAAGCTGGAGCGATAATGCTTATACCAAAAGCAGTAGATGGTGAACATCAGTTGGACAGTACAGTAGGAAGGAATGATATCCTGTAGCTACCATTTTGTTTTGTCTCTGCCAAGACCTTCTTAAAATGACAGGCATCACTGTTGTCCGTTTGGCTTTTGTCCAGTACACCGCAGCCTTCTGCTTCAGCTTGCTTTTGGTTTTATCACCCATTCTGCCTGAGGATTTGCGCGGTAAACATCTAACATGTACGCATCCGGATCCAAACAGTGCTGGCCTGAAACAGAAATCGACAGCCATGAATCATAGGATGTTTTGAGCACATTAGTAAATGGGAGAGGGCTATGTTAAAATGTCCTTGAATGTATCTCTGACTTGCACATAGCGAGCCTAGTTTTGTGTGTCCAGCTGACATCTTGCCTGCGTACAGACAGTGGCTTTGGTAAATTTGCCAGGGATTTTACTCAGTGAGAGTTGTGAATTCACTTTTATTTCCAGGTAGGATGCCCTGCATTACACTGACTTATGGACAAGGCGTTTAGTCAAATGGTGAACGAATATTATGGTTTCTTTAGAAGCATTAACAACACTGTTACTGTAAGTGCCACAGTATGTTTTTTTTATTTCTTTGGATTTACTGGGCTGAAATTACAACTCTGTGACTTCGTTTCTACGCTATTTTTTAAATGCTGAAAACGTAGCTCTGTAAACCATGTGTTCCCATCCAGCTAGGATCTTAGAAAGAAATACAGGGACTATAACGTGGTTTTTGGCAGTTGCTGTTTTGCTGGCTGAAAAAAAAACCCAAGTCTTCTGAAGTCTGGCCGTCTGACGGTTTGTTTAGCTGATGACTGGGGCTAGGAGTTGGGTGGTTGGGGAGCCCCTGCTGCCTTTGTCACAGAAAGAGGCATTTGGTGCCTCTTAATTAAGTTGATTTGTTGGACTATATTGCATTTACACTGGGTGATGAAGCCATTTAACTGGTGAGGTTACATTGCTGTGACGCAAAGGATTATGGTAAAATTTTTGTACAGTTACTTACAAGGTCACTGGAGTCCTAATGATTTTATTCAAGTGAAAGCAATATAAATGAATTAACGCATAACCAGTGGACTAAGGTACCCTGAAAGATCTAGGGCTATAAACATAATTTTAAATGAAGATGCAAATTAAATGGACA